AGAAAGCTGGGACCACAGTAACAAAGGTCACCATCAGTAACACACTACAACGGCAGGGAATCAAATCCTGCAGTGCCAGACGTGTTCCGCTGCTGAAGCCAGTGCATGTCCAGGCCCAACTGAAGTTTGCCAGAGAGCACATGGATGATACAGCAGAGGATTGGGAGAATGTTGTGTGGTCAGATGAAACCAAAGTAGAACTTTTTGGTATAAACTCAACTCGTCATGTTTGGAGGAAGAAGAATACTGAGTTGCATCCCAAGAACACCATACCTACTGTGAAGCATGGGGGTGGGAACATCATGCTTTGGGGCTGTTTTTCTGCTAAGGGGACAGGACGACTGATCCGTGTTAAGGACAGAATGAATGGGGCCATGTATCGTGAGATTCTGAGCCAAAACCTTCTTCCATCAGTGAGAGCTTTGAAGATGAAACGTGGCTGGGTCCTCCAACACGACAATGATCCCAAACACACCGCCCGGGCAACAAAGGAGTGGCTCCGTAAGAAGCATTTTAAAGTCCTGGAGTGGCCTAGCCAGTCTCCAGACCTCAACCCCATAGAAAATCTGTGGAGGGAGTTGAAAGTCTGTGTTGCTCGGTGACAGCCCCAAAACATCACTGCTCTCGAGAAGATCTGCATGGAGGAATGGGCCAAAATACCAGCTACTGTGTGTACAAACCTGGTAAAGACCTATAGTAATCGTTTGACCTCTGTTATTGCCAACAAAGGTTATGTTACAAATTATTGAGTTGAATTTTTGTTATTGACCAAATACTTATTTTCCACCCTGATTTACAAATAAATTCTTTAAAAATCCTGCCATGTGAATTCATGGATTTTATTTTCACATTCTGTCTCTCACAGTTGAAGTGTACCTCTGATGTAAATTACTGACCTTTGTCATCATTTTAAGTGGGAGAACTTGCACAATCGGTGGCTGACTAAATACTTTTTTGCCCCACTGTACCTCTTAGCCAATAGCGGTGGCAGATTTAAATTAAAATACAGTGCAGAGTTTTTACCTGACAACGGCACAACACTGCCAGTTTTAGGCAGAATATTTAAATTTTAACTAAGATGCACTGAAGTGCCAAATTATTGACTACACGTGTCTGCAGCACGATTAGACACTCGTTTATTTAGTTTATCAGCAAAAAAAGTTTATTTGGGGGTGACTTGCTCTTTAAAAAATAACCACTTCATTATAAAGAATCCTGAAAGCAATGTTGAGCTAACGACTAGCCATAGCAGTGGTAATTCGTAGTTCTGTACATGGCTAGCTGCTATTTGAACTTGTCAACAATCACATGAATACATGCTTAAATAACTGGATTATGTGAACTCTCTTCAATCTAAAAGTGTGTAACAACAGTTTATATGACCGGATTTTAAACTTTACTATATATATTATATATTTTCTCTTTTGCTTTTATTTTTATCCATTCAAGCCAACATTACATTCATAGTAATTCAAGGTTATGTCAATGTATTATTAATATTTGTGAAGCAATATTTTTTTACATTTATTCAGTCGTATATTAGAATTTAGGTGTTTTTTTGTTTTTTGTCTTTCAGTTTGTGCATGTTGCAGTAAGATGGGTGTTAAAACCCATCTTCGTCAAACTAGTCATTGGCGTATCAATCCTTTAGAAACTAAAGCCTATTTGTTCAGTTTGAGGTCTGAAAAGATCCTGGCTGTCTCTTTAAGAGAAAAAAATCCAACAAATCCCCAGAAAATTGTGTACCAAACTTAATAGATTAAGTTGGACAAACCTAAATCAATTATTGGTTACCAAATGAAGCTATTTATTTAAGTAGAATCAACCATTCTGGGGTTGTTGTTTTTCAGTGTAAGAAGAACTTGTGGCGGCGCCGGGGGGGGTTGGGGGGTGGGGGTGGGGGGTGGGGGGCTCTATAGCTACCCCTGGATTAGTCATAGCACCCCCAAGTAAATATTAGATTTTTTTAATAATTTCATTTTGATTTAAAGTGTGGATGTGATAATATTTAACATACAAAACAAAAATAATCAGTAAATTATCATATAGATAGTAAAAACTTAAACCAAAACAGGAAATTGATGTTAACCTTTGACATCATTTTCCACCTGAGAGCGAGTGAAAGGTAGAGCTAGTGGTAAAATGGATCGGTTTTTGTTGCCCACATTTCCACGGGTTCAGTCAGAAACAAATGACTCTTTGGAAGTGATCTCAGACCCACAAAAACCTACGGATCTGGATGAAGAGAGTCAACCCTCAACCGCCGCAGCAGTCGAGGGTTTTGCCGCTGAAAATGCTAACGCTAACGTTAGCTAACCTTGCAACTAGGGATGGGTACCTTTGACATTTGAATCGATTCGGTACTAATTCCCGGTACCTAGGAATCGATACCGGTACTTAATGGTACCAATTTTAGATACTTTTGAGTGTTTAATAATTTAACTCTCTTTTATAATTAAATATATATTTTTCTCAATATATAACCATATTTGATAAATATCACGATAAATAACATACAACTGTTTGTATTTTAACATCATCCTTGTAGTTTTATAAGCTGATAATTAAACTGAAGCAAACATCTTTACTGTGAACTAAATTTACTGTGTGTCTTCATTCCTTTTGCCGTCCTTTTTCATTTGATTTTTCCTACTGGGAAGTTAGAATTTCCGAGGAGAAAGCGAACGCACCATTAGCTGAAAACAATGGTGGCAATGGAAGCTAACTTTCCAAGCTAACATTATCTTAAACTGTTAATTTAGCTGCTGGAGCAGATTAAAACGATGATGCCTCACACTTAGATTGTTGTCGCTGGTTTCATCTTCACCCAATCACCCGTCGCATTTAGTAAAGTGAAGCCAAACTTTAGAGCGCGTTCATGTTCTTCTAGTCCGAAATTCGGAGTTCCGAGGAGAAAGCGAACGCACCATTAGCAGAACGGAAGCTAACATATCAAACTAACGTTATCTTAAACATTTTATTTACCTACCGGAGCAGATTAAGAGGAGGATGTCTCACTTAGATCGTTGTCGCTGGTTTCATCATCACCCAGTTACCCATCACATTTAGTGAAGTGGACCCAAGCTTTAGCGTGCGTTCTTTCTACCATGCTGCTCTGTTTACAACTGGCTCGCAGCGACCGACGACATAACGCTCTTGCGCATGCGCAGCTGTCTAGGCAAGTTCTCGTTATGAAGGACGGGTACCGAAACGAGGCACCGTTTCAAATGACGTGAAAAGTACCGAATTCGGTACCCATCGCTACTTGCAACGCTATAGATGGTTTTCTGTGTGGCTGTATGTGTTTATGATTTCATGGAAAATCAGTGATTGTTCATATGTTTATGATGTATATTAATGATTGTTTCAGGTGTTGTTGAGGTGTTGTGCACGCATGTGTATCTGCTAGTGTTGAAGGTGTTTTAGAGAACAATAGGCACGCATGACCACTTCCTTCATAGCACCCTCAATAAAAAGACTAGCTCCTTCATAACACCTGCAGAAAAAAAAATTCTGGAGCCGCCACTGGAAAGAACAAATTACGATGCTCCTGCAGCTTTTTCTCAGAGCTCAGCGCCAGTAGGTGTTTACATTTAACTTGACCCAGATTTTGCACACTACCCTACCTTTTTGGTAGACACTGCTGGCCCAGAATGCAGACAGAGCCTGTTCAGCATTTTAGGGGATTATAAATCTTAAAGAAATACAGGAACTCCTCCTGAACAATGAGCTACAAGTACAGTAGCATTGTAGTTTTCCATCCTCCACCTACAAGAGTCCAAAAATAGAGGTCAAGCGGGATCCTGGATTATGTAACGAAGCCAGTAGTTTGGACTAAATCGTTCCTGTCAGAGCTTATCCTACGCTGGATGGAACAAATTGCTCTTAGCTTGACTGAATTATGCATGACAGAGGGAGCAGGAAATAAAAGCTGAATTATTGTGCACATGCAGCAGATTTCACTGCGTGATGCACATCGCAGCAGCCACACTCAGGATGATGCGTCAGAGGGAAAATCAGCGGTTGGACTCATCAACCAAGATATGTGAGAGCAGGAAGATAAAAATAACTCCTCCTCCTACTGGTGATGATGTCATAGTATGTTGCTTTGTTCCTCCTCCAGAGCGTTATGATGCCTCATGTCTGCTAGGCTGTGAGGAGCATGCGAGGTGCACAGTCTCCTGAACAGCCTCTGCTCAGAGACACAGAGACTGATGAGCTAACAGCTTGGTACCACTACAATTACTAGTACTACTACTACTATTACTACTACTACTACTACTACTACTACTACTACTACTACTATTACTAGTGGGAGCAATACACTTCATATATTTGAAAAATGGTTTTTCCAAATGAATCCAAGCCAAGGGTTAGTGCTGTGCATGGCAACATTCCACTCTGGCCTTAGCTGTGGTCAGACTAGCCGTTAACCCATCAATCCTAAAAGACGTGAACACGGTGAGCTCAGAGGAGGCTCTCTGTGAGGAGTTAGGGTTAGGGTTTTCATGGTGAGAACTGCTGTTTGAGCCCGTTTGTGGTTCTGGTTCTGTTTGAGCTGCCTAGAGCTGCAGCATCAAACATATTGCTTACATAAATTAACACCTGAGATCTTCAGATGAAAGCACGTTCACAGTGACAGAATGTCAGAATCAAAGAATGCTTCTCTTACATAATAATCGATGTTACCGTGGCAACTCAGCATCCTAGTGGAAGAGCCAGTGATTACCTCATTTCTGCTTCATTTTTGTAAAACAAACAGGAGCGGATAGTTTTTTATTGGTTTCAAAATGCCAAAAATCTAAAGAGTATGTGTTTATCCCTTGGGTCCACGTGGCAGGGGCGAGGAGTGAGCACCACCTCACCCCTGCCACGTGAACCTCAAGGAATAAACCATCAATCCTGCTCAAAGGTCAACTTTCCTCGCAGGGTCACCCATAAAGACAGCGGGAGGGTCATATGTTGACTCGTTTGTGGTTAATATAAAGACTTCCTGTTACCTTCAAGTTCCTCCTTCTCAAAGTTGGTGTTGAGCATGGAGCGAGTGCCTCCTCGGTCCAGCACCGCCTCCTCATCGGTCCTCTGCAGGAGACACAGACAGGGAGGTGTTACTCCAGTTAACCCCCTCATGAGGCGTCTCCTCCCAGAGGATGGAGGAACAGGAACCTCTGGAACAGGAACTGTCGTGTAAAACACACATTTTCCCCTGACATGCTACATGTTACATAATAACCCCCACCACCACGACACACACACACACACACACACACACACACACATACACGCACGCCCGGGATGCCCCACCCCCACCCCACACGATCTGTCAGGAGGAATGATTTGTCCTTAAACGAGTACTGTACACGCCCAAGGACTCGCCATCGTTAGGACCAACTTCCTGAGGTGGTTGCCATGGTGACAAAGGCCAGCAAATCTGAAAATGCCACACTCATCTTCTGAGAGCCGGATTACATTTTGTGAGTCATGCTTTTAACAAGAACGCCTCTTTGTGCATCAGGAAGTGGAGCAGGCGCACACGCTCGGGCTTTTCTGGGTGTTCCGTTCTAAAAATAGATCTGACCTTGAAACATGGAGGCGGGCCTCGCCTTCCATCGCTATCTGGGCTATTCATCATACAGTACAGTACTGGATTAGCACGGATGGTTTCCTGGCTGCTCTCGATAGACAGGAGAAAGATGGACTCTTCTTCTCCAGGTCATCAGCGCTGCTTCTATGAGTCGTCATGGCGACACCTCCTGCATGACTTTACTCCGTCTCTGCCTGACTACCGACTGTCTCTCTCCGGTTTCTGAGCGTTTATTACTTCTTCTCCAGCCGTTCTCAGTGAATTTGCTGCGGATCAAGTAGCGTTCATCAGTGGGAATGTTTTCTGAAATATCCCCGTTCCTCACCAGCGTCCAGAGTTTCATCTATAATCTATAATCCATCTACCGTTTGAGTTTTTCAGCTCAGATAAACCAGAAAAGCATCATTTCACAGTATAAGGTCCTTGTTCCAATAATGTCTTTGAAAAAAATAAAAATTTCTTTGAAACAAAATAAACATTTTGATGATACTACACAGTAATATTTATATCTCATCATGAGTACGTTTGTAATGTGATGGGAAAAATATTGTGATTTTCTGTTTTGTGGTCTTTAGGGGGAGTTTCGGCATCATGCACATATATGTACTTTCTAGGGTTAGGGAGCCGGTTCATAAGATAAGATAAGATAAGATAAGATAAGATAAGATAAGATAAGATAAGATAACCTTTAATAGTCACACAAGTGGGAAATTTGTTTCGTTTACAGCCAAAGTAAAAGTAAAAGTTATGCAGCAGAGGGAGAAAACACTAAAATACAATAAGTTCGATCGTAATGAGATAAAATAAACTCAATACAATAGATAATTTATACCTTAGGAATGGGGTAAAAAATAATAACCATACTATATACAGCTTAGAAATACAGGGTACACTTCATCCAACAGACTTGTTGTAGAGTCTGACAGCAGTGGGGAGGAAAGACCCCCGGAATCTCTCTGTCCCACACCTCGGGTGCCGCAGTCTCCCACTAAAGGAGCTGCTCGTAGCTGTCAAAGTCACCTGCATGGGATGGGAGATATTATCCAACAGGGATGACAGTTTAGCTGTCATTCTCCTGTCACTCACCACCTCCACAGGGTCCAGGGGGCATCCTAGAACAGAACTGGCCCTGCGGATCCGTCTGTTCAGCCTCTTCCTATCCCCCGCAGAGATGCTGCTGTACTTGCTGCTGGACTTCACATATTTTCCAGGACACTTTATTGACCAGGTCACATGGTGTTGGCGGTGACCCCGTCTGCCCCCTCTCACATGCAGGCAGCAACAAAACGTGTAGCATGATGGACAAACAGCAGAACCGAGTGATTTCATCTACGTTAGGCGTGATTGTGATTCATCGTCTGAGCAGAATGATTTGGTGAAAACAAGCCCTTTGTTCTGTTGGAGCTGCCTTAAAATCTATTCATCCTATTAGCTAAATAAATACAGTTTAAAGGATTATACCACTTTTAAATAATTGCTCCTTTCTGCTTCTTAAATCGTGGCTGGCGGTTTGATTTCTGCGGTTGAGATTAGTTCAGCATGAACATTCGAGTGCGACGCTCCCTCTAACACGCACAACAAGACGGGTCAGCGTGTGAGAAAGCAGCACCGGCATCAGATGGATGCAGAGTCCTGACCCAGGAGGCCGACTGCACGTAGGAACAAGGACAGAGCCGTCACGGACGGCTCACGGAAGCAGAACCAGCTGAGGAATCATCATCGCGTTCCTCTAGATGGAACTAAACGCAACTAGAACCTCGCATCGGTTCCGTCAAACATCGCCTCGTCTCGGACGAACGGTTCACACTGCTCGGGCCAAGAAGCAAGGAGCAGAAAGCGACGGCGTCATCGAGTCCCCTCAAGTCAAACTGCCGGAACTAGGTGTGAAAGAATGAACCCATAATAATAATAGTAAAGGAAATGAGTCGTGCAGGTTGCAGAGTAAAAGGGGAACTGAAACCGCAAATGGAGGTGGTGATGATGATTGTATTTATGTGTGTTTAACCTTTGCACAACTTCTTTTTTATATCACAGAAAAGGTTTTATTACCTTGTTTTGTTTCTGAATCATAAGTGAATTTTATGCTGCCTGTGTCGTCCATGTTATTCAAGTGTTGTGTTCGTGTTGAGCGCCGTTATGGCTGCTCTCGTGGTCTACCTGTATCTGTTCTGTCTATATGTGTGTGTGTGTGTGTGTGTGTGTGTAACCTTGGTCAGGCTGTTCTGTGGAGTCAAGTTCCTATGCTCTGGTTCGCTGGAGCGCTGGCAATAAAATTCTCTCTGATTCTCTGATTTCTGTTTGTCCTTTTGGTATGATTTCCAGTATGTCGTCTACGTAGCGTTTCCGTAGTTTTATTTTGCAGTTTGGGGGGGGGGGGGGGGGTGGCTATGGCTTTCTGCTCTAGGTCTTCCATGAAAAACTCGCACAGGGTGGCTGATAACGGGTTACCCATGGCGAAGCCTTCCAGTTGTTTGTATATTGTGTCGTTGTATGTGAAGTAAGTGGAGTTAGCTAGCAGTCCTCTCAGGTGTGCTACGTCATCTGCTGTGAGGTTTGTCCTTTTGTGTAAAGTCTTGTCCTGTCCGATTCTGTTAACTACTATGTCTATGGTTTTTTTTGGGTTGGTGTTTTTGTGAACAGGGATGTGACGTCGTGTGAGATGAGCATGTCGTTGTCTTCTATTGTGATCTCCTTTAGTTCTTTTGCCAGTTCTATGCTGTTTTTGCGGTGTTGATCTGTGTTTCCTAATAACAGGCTGATGATTTTGCTGATTTTTTTTTTGCCATGTTATATGTTGGTGTACTTATGCTGTCTACTATTGGTCTAAGTGGTGTTTTGTATTTTTGTACACTAGCATCTGTTTCATTTACAGCTCCATGAACCACGTGACCGCGAGTCGACGAGTTCAAAGCGTGTCGCGACTCTCTCTTTCTACAGCTCTGGGTTTGAAACCCTGTGAAGAGCTGTGATTGGCCAGCCAGAATGCTGCTAGGAGCCGCAGAGGTTCCAGTGGAGAGTTCCTAGGCCAAACTTTGCAAAGCAAGCGTTTGGTCTAGTAGGATAGGTTTAAGCAGCGTTTCATGAGGTAATTGCTTTATATTTCTGTAACAGAATCACACTGAAAGGTCCAATAGTATTTTGTATTGGATGTATTTAATTATTTACATTATTTCCCAAAAATATCAACATGCTAACAGCTCTCACTGGAGCCGATCGTAGCTGAGCGTGAAGCAGCTGGAATGAGAATCAGCTCCTCTAAACCCAAGACCATGGTCTTGATTCAGAAAAGGGTAGAATGCCTTCTCCAGATCAGGGATGAGGTCCTGCCCCAAGTTGAGGAGTTTAAGTATCTCTGGGTCTTGTTCACGAGTGAGGGAAAACTGGAGTGTGAGATCGATAGGCGGATTGGTGCTGCATCTGCAGTGATGCGGGCGTTGTACCGGTCTGTCGTGGTGAAGAGAGCGCTGAGCCAGAAGGCAAAGCTCTCGATTTACCGGTCGATCTACGTTCCTACCCTCACCTATGGTCACGAGCTTTGGGTAGTGACCAAAAGAACGAGATCGCGGGTACAAGCGGCCGAAATGAGTTTTCTCCGCTGAGTGGCAGGGCTCTCCCGAGGTGGACTGGCCTATCTGGCCTTCTGGCACTGTCCCGGTGAGCCGCCTACCAAAGCGGGCCTCTGGCACTGTCCCGGTGAGCCGCCTACCAAAGCCAGCCGCTTTTCTGAAGAAACCTTTGATGCTTTTGAACCAATTTTCCTATAACAATTTCTTGTTCTTTCTAAAGAACCCGTTTTCTGTGACAGCTGACCAACAAGCAGATGAAATGATGCTCCAATCAACTCCGTCCTGTCCCACTCAGCTCTGTAGGACAGATGAGCTGCAGGCTCCTCCCTGCAGGTCCCAGCTTCTATTTATAACCACTCATGTTGCTGACCCCCAGCGAGCTCTCCATCCTGGGCTGGGATTAATCTTTTACGGGGGGGGGGGGGGGGGGGGGGTGAAAAACCTTGTTTCTGACTGTGGGATCCGAGACGGAGCCATCCTGCATGGTGGGGAAAAGCCATGCAGGCCCTCCTCTTCTGCTCCATCACACGGGGATGGTCGTTCTTCCTGCTGCATGAACCTGGACAGGATGTGGTGAGACAGGCGGAGCGCTGTGGGACACGGACTGAGGACAAGGGGATGTCCTAACCTAACGCTGTGTTAATGAGGGTCTGTATTTGTGCACGGCCAAAGCGTATTGACGTACTGTATAGGTAGAACTAGATAAAGCTATCCCAGTCAACATACGCACCCTGGCCACTTTATTAGGCACACCTTGTTAACACAAGTATCTAATCATCCAGTCACATGGCAGAAACTGTGATGTCATCATCTCAAAGTCTGAGGAAGGTTTAAAACATCTTGTTGTACCTATGAGATTGAAAATAGAATTAATTAATTAATTATTGGCCATTAATTGGACGGGTTTTTAACCAGAACACCAAAAAAAGTCC